GCTGAGGGAGGGAGCTGGGACTGTTGGGGTCTGCGGGGAGTGAGGGAGCTGGGGAGGGAATGAATTCCCCTATCCGTTGGTGAGGTGGGAGACTAGGTTTGTTATGGGGGAAGGGGGAATTTTCAACCCCGTTGGGGCGTTTTGGGGTTGGTCTTGGTTGGATGAGGGAGGGTGGAGCGCATGGAGAGGTCCTGTTTGTTGAGTTGTGTGGCAGGGGAAGCCATTGCTCGTTGGGGCGGGCAGGGGAGTGTATACTGGTCCTGCAGAACCTGGTTGTGCTGACTGAGCTGTCCTCGTAGCTGTGCCTCCGAAGACAGAGGCAAAGGCTAAGGCGCTGAAGGCCAAGAAGGCCGTCCTGAAGGGGGTACACAGTCACAAGAAGAAGAAGATCCGCACATCACCCACCTTCCGCAGGCCCAAGACCCTGCGACTGCACCGGCAGCCCAAATACCCCCGGAAGCGCGCCCCACGGAGAATTTTTTTTTGGGTGCTTGGCTTTGCCCTGCCAGAGGGCTTGCAGGGTGGGAGCAGCCCCATACGTGGGCTGGTGTGGGGACCTGTGCCCCGCTGCAGGGTGACACCTTGCCAGTGTGCAGCCCTGGGAGCTGAGCCCACACCTTGGTGGCAAAGTGGTGGGCGTTTGGGGTGCAGGTGATGATTTCAAGCGACCAAAGCCTGAGAGTTCATGATTACAGCTTTTATAGCAACTGATGCACCCTATAGAAAGCCCTTGAAGTGCAGGGACAGCTTTTGCCAGCCTTCTGTTAACCATAGAGTCTCTTTCCTGCAGGCTGGACCATTATGCCATTATCAAATTCCCTTTGACCACAGAGTCGGCAATGAAGAAGATAGAGGATAACAATACTCTGGTTTTCATCGTCGATGTCAAGGCAAACAAGCACCAGATCAAACAGGCTGTCAAGAAGCTGTATGATATTGATGTGGCCAAGGTCAACACATTGATTAGGTGAGAAGCGGGGGAGAATAGGTCACCGGTGGGTGTGAGATGCTTCAAGAGCCTGGAATGGCTTTTAGCAGAACATGGGAACACACATGAGTTTCAGCAGTTGTTGGTACTCTCAGGAGGTGTGGGCTTAAGCTCTGTAGCATTTGCAGTGTTAAAAGTTTTGAGAAATGCAACTTGTGACTGAGCAGATCTTAGTGGAAGTGGGAAATGTTGGCAGACCAGAGGGTCAGCTTTATCGGGGGTCTCATCTAACATCCAGGGAGTGCACCTGTGCAAATGATGTGAACTTTTTCTACCGCTGAGTAAAGTGATGTT